AGAAACTATAAATACTAGCTTTGAAATGACAACTGCAATAAGTGGGCTAGATACTTTGTGAAATAAAGGGGTGAAAATTAGATACAAACACGACTCCCAAATTGCATTTCTCTGAAACCTCACAGAGGAGAAGCATGGCTGTTGTCCAGCTTTGGATGATGAAGAGATGATGAATCTTGAAATCATTTCTATTCCAGAATGAGTCAGTGACTGAAAGCAGACATGAGCTAGTGCAGTTCCATTCCTAAAAATAAATGTTTCGGAGTCCTCTAGGACTCAGAGGACTAGCATATTTCCTACAAAAGATGTCAGCATCCTAATGAAGTCCCATTCCTACTTTTAACTCCTGGAATGGTGCAGAGAGAAGAAGGAGATGGTCATTGCCTGTGGCCCTCCACTTTGTACCACTCGCTCTGTCCTCTGGGACGAGACTGGCAATGGCTGCTGGGACTTGGTCTTGGTAGCAAAGCAGCTGACTTCTACCTGACAGACCAGCACCCAGGAAAGTGGCTCTGGATGCTACCAGCACAGAGGCAGCCCATGTAGGCAACCTTTAATCACACAAACAAACATAATTTAGCCTTTCCCAGAGTGTTTTAACTTGATGATGAGACCTGCGAGTAGAAATTCAAGAACTCCAACATAAAAATGAGATAAATCAATGGATGATCCTTAACTTTACAAATGGACTTTTTTTTTACTGTGTCCCTGGAGCACTTAATCACTATAGTTGTTTACAAACTTCCAATTATTTATCTAAATGACTTACTAGTTAGATAACCTAAATCTGAATTCTTATTATGACAATGCTGACTAAAAACAAGCAAAAACCCAGTAGAGATTTGAGAAATCACCCGTGAAGTTATAGTGCAATTAAATGCTTTAAATCTGACTCTGCTTATCAAAATTCAAGATGCATAACTTTAAAGAAGCCCCATTTTTTTTACAGAAGATAATATTTTGATAATTTTGGTAAACTGAAGGTAATATTTTGATAATTCTGGTAAACTATTTCAAAGATGGTATAGTTCTAGGGTAAAAGAAAATATTCCAAAGAACTTTCATAGAAATTAAATGCAAAACAAGAAAAACATATAAAGGGAGATAATTTATAAATTGATAAATAAATTTATCATTTACAATATGAAGTCAGAACATGAGAAGTCCACCTGCAAATTATTTTAATACACTTAACTTCCTAAGAGTTAAAAATAAAACAACATAGTTTAAATATTACTTTTTATTCAGTCCACATTTGCTGAATTTATGCAAAGCACTGAGCACATGATTTAAAACCACTTATAATGCTGAACATCACAATGTTCAACATCACAATGTTGAACTTCTGTGACATGTAAATTTTTGTATCTTTTCTATTGGTTTCTATCCAGGTAACTTATTTAGGAGTATACATGTTGATGTCTTCAGACTGTGGGAGAAGATGTCCTTGACTCTGATTACAGAGAAACTAGCGAAATTTCTCAAGCTAACCTCTTTAGTATTATATTTATTTGAAGTCACATACATGCCTGGAACATTTTGCGAATTAATTACTTTTGAACAATCAGACATATCTAAAGTGTTTGACTCTAGACAACTAATTATCTTGTATATGATTAGAAAAATACAAAAGGGAAAGATTTACTTGAAGGTCTCCCCCCAAAATCAGTGCTATATGAGGTGTCCAGTGATAAGACAGTGGGGACTGTCAGGGACAGGGCAATCTCATCTGAGAAAGAAGTTAAGCACAAGTGTTCAGTAAAAATAAAAGAAATCAATCATTACTTTTTGCACTTGATCTTAGCAAAAAGGTTGAGAAACGATATTCATTGCTCTTTGAATTATAACAGACTATAAGATCAGGTTTCCTTTCACACATTTTTCCTTATTTAAAGAGAAACATGAAAAGGAAAATAAAAAGCAACAAAAGGCTGCTATTTAAGACTTTACGAAGATGCACCTCAAATTGTATCCCAAATCATTGTGGTGGTGTGGGGTGGCACAAAGACTTGCAGATAACATGTACCACTGACAGAGAGGTCCAGCGAGTTGGTTTTTGGCTCTCTGCACTTAACCTTTATGTGAGTTAATTGGTGTCCCACTGCTTCTATTTACTTAATCTAGAGCTCAATGAATTTATACCAATTAGGTACTGATGGTCTTTGTGTTATCTATGTGATAAATTCCTTTAATCCACAGTAGTATTTTACGTTTTAAGAAGCACACTACTCTACCAGGAATTGGATTAACTCCTGTGCTGCCAGATTATTGTTATACCATTTTTTGGTCCTACAAAATCTTAAGAATCATTAAATATATACCCACAGACATTTGATGTATCAAAACTAATAAAAATAACTGACTGCATCAGTTTATCTTTTTTTTTTAAAAGAACAAAATCTTTCTTCTTTTCATGCCATTTGTGCTTTTACTGAGTATGTTATACAAATTGGAATATACTCAGGTTAGCTAAATTTGCAAGAGGTAAATTTCAATGATTAAGAAAACAAAGAAAATGAAAATTTTAACCTGAATCTATAGGTGAATTTTCAAAGATTATTGAAGTGCAAATGTTTGGTCCTTCTCCTGAGCTCCTGGTACAGAATCACTCGGGGCTCCCTGCATGATGGTGTCTTGTGTATTCTAATGGTGTCACTCATGACATGTAGGGGTGCAGGAGAGGCGCAGAGTTGGAGATAGCTTCAGAATGAAGGCCAGGTGGCAGAAAAACCAACAGAAATGAGCAGATTAGAACTTTCAATCTGGCCTTCTATCCTGAGAAACGAAGAGGGGCTGTAGATGGAGCTCCTCTATGAACTCCTAAGTGAGAGGTTTTGGTGAGTTCAGGGTTGGCGCTGATAACAACAACAACAAGAAAGAACAACAGCAACAAACATAAGATCTACTAAAGTTAATTACAAGGCTGCAGAGGATGGAAGATAGACGTGGTAAGGAAAGTGGGAGAATTCTTTGTTTTTGAAAAAGATACAGCATTTGATGTCAGAGGTAGTGATCAGGAAACAAACACAAAATCCCACACAGTTTCAGTAAGACTGCACCTGTATGCAATGTCCCGGTTCTAAAAGAGAGGCATTCCTGAATAAGTGAAGTTCCCACTCCTCATCGGGTGAAAGTGTGATTTGGGCAAAGCAGTGCTTGTTTCAGAAATAGGAAAAAACAAATTACTATTTAATTAGACTTGAAAATGTAGGTTGAATACTCCCAAAAGATGTGGTGGAAAGCAAATAAAAAGGACTACTTAATGCCAATGAAGTTCTGTCCTCCACAGATTGGCCAATCAAGAATCTTGGAATGACATTGCCAGGCATTTATTAAGTGCCTGACCTGCTTTATAAATTGCTAAATCTACACCTGACTCTGAGCTGTCATACTGGCCTGATGAAAAGAATACTGGTGTGCAGAAATGTTTCAGATGTGGCAAGTGTGAAGCGAGAGGCAGAATTCTCCAACAGATAGCGTGGTGGGCAGTTATCTCTGTGAACATCAGTAAATTATCCATGAACTTTTCTGGCTTTTTACCCCGAAGGAGACCCAGGAAAGGTGAACACGGGAGACATGAGGCAGGGCCTGACATTTTCCCTGGAACATGCTCTGAAGTAAAGCCCTCTGTGATCATTAAAGAATGTCCACATTCGTTTTTCAGGTGGTTGAGAGAAGCTGAACCTTAAAGATGACCCAAACTAGATCAAAGCAGAATCATCCCATCCAAACTCCAGACTACACTTTCCCGAGACAGCTGGCACTATGCCCTGTAGCAGATATCTGAAATGCTGACTTTTAAAAGCAGACCTAGTTGTTGCTTTACATGTTGATAGCAAGAAAGGAAAATATTCAGAGGAAGCAGAGGAGTAGAGAAATATTTAAGCATAAAAATCGAGGACTTTCTAATTTCTGCCCCAACAGAAATTTTTGCCATTCACAGGTAATCTCTTCTAAAACCCTAAACAGGTGCTCGCTCATACTAAAATTCATGGTGCTGAATGTAGTTGAGGTAAATATTTTACTTGTCTGTTGGCATCATGTGCATAAAATTTTAAAATAATTCAAACCATCTACAGCTTGTCAGTGACCAAATAGAGTGCTGGTAAAAATAAAATATCTTTCAGTTCAGCAGCAGTTGGCTAAATTTAAAACCTGTATTATGCAATCTTAAAGTGTCCTTGCTTTTATTCGGTGTCCTAGGAAATTCTGTTAGAATGTTTCTCCAAAATCACTTCACTCTCAACATCTAAACACTTAAGGCACGACAGGACCAAATTAAGGTGTTCACAGGCAATCAAAGACAGAAAAAAAGTCCATTTGAAACAGTATATCGGGCATGATGCCTTTAAAGTACAATCTCAGTCTTCTCTATTTAAGTTTGTAGTTACTATAATTAGGGCTGGCAGATCCAACTGGCAGTGCTGTTCTTAATTCTGCAAAACATGTAAGAACCTGATTCTTTAATCCTTACTCCAGTAAAACTCCCAAAGGAGATGAGCTCACGGCTGGAGTGAGAGCTGCAGAATCCAACTAAAACTGGAAACGAATAATTTGCCTACATTTCTCTGAGCAAGCTCCAACAGCTGACAATATTTCAAACTCTTCTTTTTCCTCACCAAATTTCAACGAATACTGTTTATATTTCCTAGTGCATTCATTCAGTTTATGTTCATTATAGACAAACTGACTTTTTCCAGTTTTCCTTTAGTTGTAAGTTGTATAACTTTATCTCAGAACTGTTCATGAAATTGGGCTCATTATTCTTCAATATTATATATGACAAATGCTTTTTTTCTACAAAGCGTTTAGTATAGGAAGTCTTAAATTTCATAAAATAAAGCAATGATGAATATTGTCACAAAAACAAAAATGCAACTAAATATTTTCTTTTATAACAATTACAATTTGACCTATGGCCTTCATTGATCTTCAGTGATAAGCCTGAGCGTTTTACGACCTTGGACGCACACATGTACCAGTGACGGCGTTCCACATACCTTTCGTAGTAGGTTTAACCCCAGGTTCATGGAAATGTCATGTATCGCTATAATTCTTCTCTGAGTAGTTTCCTCCCTCGTTTCCTGTACAGCGAATTTCCCAGTCCCCTGCAGCAATCGGTGGAGTGGAGGCCAGCTCCACAGACAGGTCTACTCAGAAAGTAGATGGGACGGCTGAATTTAAGTGAGTGGAAAGTCTGGAGGATGCAACTTAGCATCTATTTTTAGGAACTGAGCTCTGTACAGGGGCTGCCAAGCCAAGCACTCCTTTCGGAAGTGTGTCCAGCAGGGCGTTCTTCTTCACATTGTCCTCGAAATGCAGGCATGGCCCCTGCACGTATGCAATCAATCAAAACTCCCTCCACAGTCCCGAACCCCAGGCAGACACCAAACTTCCGAACAAAGCAGAAAAAAATCACAACCAGGACAGAAGAACAAACGGAGGGGTAAAGTCTCTGAATTCCTTGCACTTTTTAAGTAATTTAGGTCTTTTAAGTGTCAAAGATATGGATATAAAGCCAATAGGCAAAGTTCCAATTTATTCCGGGGGAATAATTAACGTGGGTCCCTAGGAAGAGGAAGCAATCGTTTCATAAAATGGCTTTAGATATGTAAGACACTACTTTGCTTTTTCAGGGCTCACTAAAAACAAAGCAAAATACTACTTTAGTGATTATATAAGTAGAGGAAGTCTTTTGATTGAAAAGGCCTTGGGAAGGCTTTCTAGAGAGGTTAAAGAGTAGGCTACACTGCCTGTCCATTGTTACCAGCTCCAAATCATCCTCCTGAGGAAGACCAGGCAGGGAAAAGGACTCCTGCGAGATGCATATTAAATGTCCTTTGCTGCCACACTACTTACTCAGCGCATCCTGCCAGAAGAAGGGAGGAACTTATCTAGAATTGCTAGTTGTCCTCCATGTTGCCAACATCTAATGCGTTCTAGGCAGATAGAACAACTCCCTCTTCCTGTCTTTCCATTATTTTCTTAACGTGGGGTCCTGTGTGTTTCCAGCTGACCTCACACCACACCCAAATAAAGAAAAAACAAATTGTCCTTCCGCTGAGGAAAACACCTTAGTTAAATACTCTTTCATACAAAATATTTACAATTAAAATATATTATTCACAAATAAAAATGAGTGTATACATTATTTCATACATTCCAGCTTATTAGTGCTAAGAAAAAGTCTCATACATGATTTTTCTGAATAGTCTGAGTTTTTTCAGGGCCAGGAGCTCTCTTAACAGGTCAGAGCTGTGTTGCCCATAATAACAGCTGTTAAGCCTATGCCACCATTTAAATTTTAATTGGTTAAAACAACATGAAATTTAAAATTCACTTCTTCAGCTGCACAAAGCATACTTCAAGTGTTCAATCTCCACGTGACTGGAGGCTATGGGTCCACTATGGGTCCACAATGTCTCCATCTTTCAGAAAGTTCTATGGGACAAGATGCTTTAGCTCAGGATTTCAACACAACTTTGACACCAGCTGTCCTCTGTGTCCTGGGAAAGTTTTGTACACTGACTAGGCTCCACTTTGTTGATCTGTGGCTAAGGGGAACAAAATTTACCAATTTTAAGTGGTTATTATGAAGATTAAATGAGATAATAGACATAAAACAATTATTTCTGTGACAATTATTACTCTAATGCAGTACAAGATAAATTACTATCATTTTTTTGTAGCTAGGTATATAAAATTCCAACAGTTTAAATTATGAGGTTGATTCTATAATACAAATAAAATCAGCTCTATTGTTGTGTGTGGATCTAGTTACTGGTGGTATTTCTGGTGGCTTTGCCCTTTGAAACAAATGATTACTGAAAGATTTGACTCTGGCTTCCTCATCTTTTCTCTTTATTTAAATTGCCTGTTTTCTCTTTTGTTTAATGTTTCTTCACTTGCTTCTTTAAACTTCACTCAAGAAAATCTTTCTTCAACTTTCTGTTTTAGCTTTTCAGGAAAACATTATTTGTATTAAATATGCAGACATTAAAATATTTCATACTTTATCTTGTCATAAATTTTCTAGTGGCTTTAATATTTCCAAACATAAATAATTTAACTACAAAAAAATTAATGGATAGGGAAAAAAACCCTTGATGAAACATTATAAAATAATTGGTAATGTAGTAAAAGCAATAAATGCTAGATCTATAGTAGCATTCATTAGTTAACCTAAGGTCAAGTAAAAAAAATGTTCCATTATAAAACTAATTAGTTATAACATAATTTGGTTTATGGGAGAAACAGTATGCAATAGCTGGAACTTGAGGAAAGACAGACCTTAAAGAGAGGGACAAGTAGAGAAGGCAATAAAATGCTTATTCATTTTAGTCTGTGAGACTGGACAAGGACAACATAGGCACCTAGGTCGTGACCACCTCTTATTCCCATGGGTATAGATACTGAATTTCATTTTTATTTAATAACGACCTAATCTACTACTCTGACATAGCTGTGAAAACAAGGTAGGTGGATGGATCAATGGGTGACACACAGATAGAAAAAGATACAGGTAAAAGAGCCATAGAGTGACACTTTAAAGATGTTAGAGTTCAAAAGAAAAATCATATTCCTTATTTGAGTTGTAAAGATGCTTCAATCTCCACAGTGCTTAGGAACCTCATCTCCATCTATTAAAACCTGTACTGTATTCAACCAATACTTGTATGAGATGTTCTTATGGAATACAGTAATTAGTATCAAGCCAAGGCTTCCATGAAAAATAATTACCACCCCTGGATCAATCACAAAGATAATATATAAAAAGCACTGGAGAACTGCCAAGCTGTAAGGACCAAAGGGAGCACAAGAAACACAAAATCCTTAGAAATGTGAGTTAAGGAGTTGAGACTATATCTGGAAATATTTATCAATTTTTCAACTAGTGGCTGAAAATCTAGGTTTGGCTCAGGAAGAGCTTTGCTGGAGGTGGGAGACAGCAGAATTTTTGGCAGTTATATAGGACTAGAGGGATAAAATTGAAAATTAGGAGCTGGGTGTGGTGGCACATGTGTGTAATTCTAGCTACTCTGGAGTTGAGGCAAGAGGGTCACAGTCTCCAGGCCAACCCGGGCAATTTAGACTCAGTCTGAAATTTAAAAAATAAAAAAGGCTGGGCCTGTAACTCAGTGATCCCTGGTTTCAATTTTCAATAATCTCAGCACTCAGGAGGCTGAGGTAGGAGAATCACTGAGAGTTCCAGACTAGCCTAGGCTGTATAGTGGATTCAAGACCAGCCTGAATTACATAGTGAGATCCTGCTTTTTTGTTATTGTTGAAAAGATTGGTAGCCCCGATAAATAATAAATAAATAAGAGACCTCAATTTTTCTAATTTTTCCAGGTATTTACTTAATTCTAAAATTTCACAACATTTCAAGATCTAATTACAAGCCACCAAACTAATAAGTTAAGGTGAATGGTTCATATTTTCATGATGCCTAGCAAACAAATATCTATGAGGAGCATATGTAACAGTTGAAGCTCTCAAATGAAAGAGGAATTGGCTGTAAAATAATCAGTAACAACTCTTTTGTCCCTGGAGTGCTTGGCAGACTGAGTTTAGCTAGAGGCTGAGAATTCTATATTGGACGCTGGCACATGGGAAGCAGGTAAACCAGCAAAAATTTGGCACTTAACCAGGTTTGTGATAATGAAATTGTTGACTCTAGTTGAGTTGACCATCACCAATGCCCTCTTGGAGACAACTACTGAATTCTGAATCTTCACTCTGCCTAAGCAAAAATATACCAAATAAGCATCTTAAAGGCAAACAATGATTCCCACAGTCTCTGTGCTAGGAAGAAAAGGATCTCACTGATTTTCAATGAAATCACAAATTAATTGGTCGCCTCCTTCCTCTCCTCTATCCTATTTGCCTAGCAGGGAAAATCTTGAACCTCTCTCGTGAAGGTAACATCATCTGAAGCATTTTCAGCTTTGTTTCTGAGTAGCACAATTGACCTTCCATTGTGAAAGTTCAAGGTATGCAAAGAGACAAGACTTTGTCATGACAACCTGGAATTAGGGATATTCAAATCAGCAGACTGCATTTGTAATAAACACAAATGAGAATGTAACAATAAAAGAGAATGTGAGAAGTGACAAAAATACAAAAAGATGGAGAACCTGATTAAAAAATTAAAACAATTTAAGAAAGAAATAGATACTCTAGAAGTTGAAGTATATCAGAAAATAAGCAGTAGGTGGAAGATTTAACAGCAGCTCAGAGACAGTAAAAGACAAAATAAGATGAAAAATAAATAAGATGACAATAGATAATCTATAAGAAATAGATTCACTTTTGATATTTATAGTGCATATTGGATAGTGCTTACTTGATCTTTTGCAACAGTGTGACATTTAATCATGTAACTATAATGCACTAAAAGCCAACTTGCTTTGCGTACGCTACTGGCAAACCAAATTTGTAGTATTTTATGTCTCTGTAGTGGATACTTAGGGGGTTGACAATGGCACAACCCCACAATTCCATCTTGCTTCTGCAATCTAGTGTAGTTGCTCTCGTCACATGTTACTTAAGTCTGTCACAGAGAATACAGCACAGCACAGAGGCACTGCCATCTATAACGTCACACTGGTCCTAATGATCTCCCTCTGAGCTAAAACGGAGTGTGAGTTTGGGTTCATTAATGAATCCCCATTTATAGGTGTTCTGGACGATCTGAGATAAAAGTTGTATAACTAGGAAACTTCAAAATCCTACATGCTTCTTTAACAGGTCATTAGTCATTGTAAATTTATTAATTTTTCTACATTTCCTGCTGCTATTTGTAGGCTAAAGACTGTTTTCCTGACATAAATGGAAGCTACCAGTCCAGGAATTCATTCAGCTCAGCACTTCATTTGCTATTGTTCATAAAGAGTTTCCTCTTTAACAGGTAAGTTAGCTTAACAACCAGTTCACAATGTGTACATATACACAAATATCCCAATTTATACCATATGAATATATACATATAAAATTTCAGGAAATGAAATAGGTACATGTGCCCACATTTTTGCAGCACTATTCACAACAACAGTAAAGATAAGGAAAAACTCAAGTGGCCATCAGTGGTCGAATGGATAAGGCAAGTGCGTACATAAATCCCGTGGAATACTATCA